ATTTATATCCCATGGCGTGCCCACCTACAGCAGGTGATCCTGATGTCGTAACGTGTCAGCGGTGGCCTGACATAAGTATAATAATAGTTAATAGAGCGTGATAGAGAGAATGGTATTAAACCTAACAAAGATGTGTCAAGAGCAAAAGTCTATGTCTTCATTAGCCTGATCTCCAAGGACCGTCGAACATTTCATTAGTTTGTAATTTATGAATGTTTGACAAATATTAAAGAGTATGTAAATATGAGAGGCATAATGTCTTTCCTGCGGGAGATGGCGAAATGACCCAAAGTCTTCTGATCACATGCATTATGTTCCTTCTCAAACTGTGCATTTGCTTGTGTCTTTGGAACATATTTCCCATCTGACGTGTGAAATAGTGCAGATAAACCAATGATTCATAATGCTGGCAGCATTTGCATCTCCTAACACTCTGTGTTATTTTGATATATGATGATATACTGTCGCCTTTTTTTCGAGTGTATAAACGCACTTTTGCCATTATGGCTTCGGCTAAATCAGTAGGAGGGTTTTTTTTGTCCTAAAACGGTTCATTTCCTTGTTTGTGAACCACTAACAGGAAAAAAAATCGTTATTTTATTTTCATTTCAGCAGCACATGGCTATCTGCATGTGCTTTCGTTCAGTGTAGGGTTGTGCTGGAAACTTTGGGGACAAGGCCTCTGGAGCCTTTACATCTCTGTTTAGATTAGAATAAAATTTAGAATTTAGTTTAGTTTAGTTTTGTTGTTGTTGGATCCTCCATGGATCCTCACACACCTGTTCACCGTGACTGCTGCTTTTGTCAGCTCACAGAGGTCAGCAGAAGATGATCAGTGCAGGTTATGATAAATAACGTCAGATCGACTTAATCGCTTAAGGGCAATTCCTCAAATTTGGAATAATTTATTCTGCATGACGCATGGCCCACTTTCATAAATCTGGAGGGACACTGTTCATTGTTAAGCCCCTACTATTTGCATTCATGTTAAGTCTTTTAAATTATTTATTTATTTTAGTTTACTGTTTTTTTATTTTTTATTTGAGGAATAATTTTTAAAAAAAAATATGACTCTTGTTAGAGCTCCGCAGAAATGCACAGGAAGAAATAGTGCGCCATCAGATTACTGTTTATATTACGGCTGGTGTGTTTTTTTTTTTTTGTTTTTTTAAATGCACTTTTTTAATTCCCCATATTTGCCTCCCTCTTCATGTGCACGTGGACACATCGTTTCTGAATAGGCTCCAACAATATTTAGATCTATATGTTTTGCTCAAGTTGCAGCAACAAGTCCCGCTGCATGTATGGAGTGATAATAAAAGAAGTCATCACAGCTCTCGCTAACTACACAGTCTTCAGCTGAGAGAAGGAGATCTCAGATCAAAAGAGAGCAAATAAGCGGGTCGCTGATTCACTCATGCAGCTGCATTGAGACCAAGGCCAACAGGCGTATCATACACTGAAAGAGAGCTGCTATTCAGAGTGCAGGTGTGAAGTATGTGGCACATTCCGCCATATAATGTGGAGGTTGTTAGAAAATCCGTGTTCGGGCCTATAGGCTGCTAGGGGGCTGATTCGCATTGGAGGGAGCCCGCTCATCTATGAAAGTAAAATAACTTAGTTTCCTGAAATCTGTGGGTGACGGTAATCCTAAAGCCTGGAGGGGTGCTGGAGTGGAGGAGTGGCAGGGAGGGTGGTGGTGGTGGTGGTCTATACGGTCTTACACTCCCAGATTTGGTTTTTCCAGGTCCCAGGATAGTGACTGATGTGTGGTTTGCCTGCTATATACAAAAGCCACCGCCGGGGTGTAGCATTAAACCTGCCTCCACTCTGCTCGCTCACCTTTTCTTTTTATATGCGGAATACAGTTAATTTGGCTTTAAAGGTTGTCATAAATCTTTACGACGGAAGCTCGTGGTAGCCTATACATCACAGCCGTGTGATCTTGTAAAGCCCCTCGGAAACCAGCCAAGGATATTATCAGAATAAAATATTCAATATTCATGACAAGCTTTATGGGTGTAGTTAACTTGTGGCTGTGCAGACTTTGCCTTTTGACCTCACTTCTGCGCACTCGATCAAAGTCTGGGAAATAAAGTGGAATGCTCCTTTACGCAGAAGAACACAACAGGCTGATATTTAGATGGGGGGGGGGGGGTAGAAAGATGTCTGTTTATTATGAAGCCATTTTTATTATTGACCAAAAATAAATAGTAAAAAAAAAAAAAAAAAATCGATACATCTTTCTCTTCAGTGTCTCCAGAGTGTCAGCTCTATTGTAACAGCCCTGCCCTGCTCTGCCGCTCTTGTTTCTGGTGGCTCTATTGCACCTGTCTCTCTGCCTTTCCCTTTATCTTCCATGCCAATTTCGGCCACTTCATTCCTGATAATAATGACTTGGTTTGGTGCTGGAGGTGCTGATGCTGGTGTTGGAGTGTGGGGTGGACGTAGTGGAGGAAAAAGGGGGGGGTGGAGTGGTGGTCGTGGTGGTTGGGGGGGGGGGGGGGGTTGTGATGGGGGGGGGGGGGGTGAGTGAGGCTTTTACTCCTAGACTGCTAATCCCCCTATTAAAAGGGCTTTGTTCAATAATGCCGGACAGTTTCCGGAAGTAGGATTACCGCCTCCATTATTTTACAAAGAAATGATATTTCACACTCAAATGAGCCTTAGGATGCAGCGGTGGTGGTGAGAGGGCCTTGCAAGAAATGAAATGGATTCATTTTCTTTTTTGTTGCGCTTTGGCAGCTCAAAACCTCCCCCCTTCTTTTTCCTTTTAGTTTTTTTTTTTTTTTTTTTTTTTAACCATCTATCCTGTAATTAATGTGGTTATGTATTTCCTGTGCAACTGCAACGCCGCCATCAGTTTCCTGTTTTGTTTCTTGGAGTGGACTGGCATCCGTGCAGTGTTGCTGCTCAAGTGGAGGCACTCTCCTCCTCCTCTCTCTCTCTCTCTCTCTCTATCTTTATCTCTCTATCTTTATCTCTCTCAGTTTCTCTCTCCCTCTCTCTCTCCCTCTCTCTCATACACACACATGCACCCCCCCATCCCCCCATACACATACACGCGCACACACACCTGCTCTTGATTCTTGACCCCATAGCTGATATCAGATCAGAGGTTGTCACTCAGCTGAAGGTGGGAAGCCCCGATGAGTGAACCCAACGGGATCAGTTGTTAAAAGCTCCTCTCTTCCAGTTCTAACTGCCTGTGGTATCCAGTGTCTGCACGCCGGGAATTTCACTTTTACAATAAAGCAAACAGTCGTCATGTTTTATCTCTGCTGTGCTTCAACTTTATGCAAAGTCTTTGGATCCATCCAAACCCTTCCAGTCCTATTCCTACCAGCTCAATTTCTGGCTGAAGACAGGATGTTTAGATTTGGTCAAAGTCATGAATTATTAGGCGTAAAGGTCACTGAACTACTGCAGAGCAGACGTGCACACAGTTCTGCAGCGCTGGTGCATAATTTTAGTTTTTTTTTTTTTGTGGCCTCCAAATTAATTCAAGGCCATTTTATTTTGTCTTTGATCTCCGCCTGCAGTAACGATCAAATTCAGAAATACTTTGGCTAAAAAACGCAGAGTGTGCCATACCTAATTGACTCACGGACCTTCTGTTTTAACTTTCTCCCTCCCTTTCTTTCTCTAACGAAACAAGCCTTTTAAATGTTGCCTCTCCTTCACTTTCAGCGCTGAATGGAAAATGTTTTTACGCGACTCAGTTAGGTCTTGTCCATTTTGACGGCTGGAACTAAAAGCTTTAGACGGCCCAATAGAGAGGAGCCCAACAAATCGGTGACAAAAGGCTTTCCGTGTCATCAACGTTGTTCAGACGACCTAGAAGAATCCCTCTGATATTAACTTCCACTTCAAAGACTCCCACTTTCAATTGAGATCCAACTATCTTGTTTATCTTGTTTTTTTTTTTCTTCCTTCCCTTCTTTTTTCTCCTCTATGCACAAGAGCTGGTGCCAAAAGAGGCATCATCATCGTCATCATCCTCTTCTTCTTCTTCTTCTATTTGATTGGTTTAGTGTTTATTCTTTGCCTCCTCTACAGAGCAAACTGTCACGCACTTAACCAAACTCTAGAAACGTATCAGAGGTGTTGTAGCGTTTCTTGTTTCCGCCCACTTCTGCCTCAGTCCAGACCGGTGTAAAAATTTAACCCTCAGCCAAAACTTTTCCCAGGACAACACAGCTCTGCAGTTTTGTTTTTTTGTTTGTTTGTTTTTAATTCACAAGTTTCGTTTTATATACACTACTAAAAAAATCTGTCTTTTTAAAGTTGAAATAATTAATTTATACATCTCTTGTTGAAATTTGCACTTATCTTTACAGGCAGCCAAGCTCTTATAGTTTTTTATATCTCATGTATTGAGGCTAAAATATGATTCTGGTTCAAATTTACCCATTGAGCAGCTCGCTCCTCTTGCAGTGCAAGTCTATTATGGTGTGGGACAACTGCGTTTTAGCGGCTTCTCCTTTGATTGTCGTAAAGTAGGCCCAGAGCAAAAGAATATATTTTTCTTCTTTATACTGCCCCAGTCTGCAATATAAAGGACATAGATTACCGTTTCCGACCCCATGGGAAGCAAATATTACATTCTTTAGAGCGGGCTTTTGAGTCCACGGACTTGGCCCCATATCATTTGAGTTTGACTTGGCTATTGCTATAGAAATCTTAATTCACCATGAGGATTCACCGTCGTGAAAAAATGGCTCTTTGTACGAAATGCTCTTTGAAGTCTGGATCAGAATATTGTAGCCTTTCATCAAACTCTGCCCACGTCTGCATCAAACCACAGCTCAGCTGAGAAAGTAAGACTTAACACAAGTGGAGCACAATTTAAGTCCTCCCTTTTTTTTTTCTTTTTTTTTCCTTTTTTTTTTTTTTTTTTTTTTTTTTTTTTTTAACCAAGAAACACTTTGGGAAATAAAACTTTAAATGTTCTAGAAAAGACCTTTCATTAAATTTTATTTCTTAGAATTTTAGCAGTTTTCTCTGCATCTGAAAAGCAGACTTGGACATGTTTTTAGCTACTGGACTTTACAAACAAGCTGCGTGTAAGGAAGCAACAGTTTTTTTTTTTTTTTTATGGAAATATTTTTTTTTAAACACCTGTTTAGTGCCATAAAAATAAATGTTGCACATATTTCCCTGAAGATACTTAAATTTCATAAACCTCACTGGCTCAGCAGCGTTTTCACTTTTGTCATACAAGATTTATTCAAAATACTCACAAATTACAAGGCAATTCGGTACGCATTTTGAGTGGCGCTCGAGTTCAAATATTCAAAAATGAAAAAAAAAAAAATTGACGACAATGATACAAAAATCACAAAATGCCCACTTTGATAAAACATTGAGAATTTCACGGTTGTATAGCAAATACTGCAGGCGTATGAAACAGTTCAATTGTTGACCTTCTGCACAAATGGGGGGGGGGGGGATGTAAACATAAAATGTTTTGTACAAATAACTGCAGTTATCAACAAGAAGCTGCTCAAAGACAGATCCCTCCAAAACTATCAACATCAACACATCGAAACTTACAAAATTTACAAATGTACATTTATGCCCTAATTGAAACATGCACTTTGGTTCGATAATACAAAAATCCTTCAATATCAGATTGAAAAATAAATAAAAACATATTGAAGTCAAAACTGGAATTTACAAAATAATTTTACACCAACATGCCTAGCCTACAATAATGTACCACATAGTCTAACGGATTTACACGACTCTCTCCACAAGTGGACCAGTGGGCCGTCAGGGCGTACAGGCACTGAGCCAACCATTTTGAATAGCTGAGGTTTGAAAATATATTCTTTTATCGTGCCTGGAAGTTAGCACGTCTTTAAGGTTTGCACTCTTTCCTTCCAATGTGGTTAAAACGCGTCTCTTGGCTCTGGGTGTCTGTTTGGTGGCTCATCCAAAAAAAAAAAAAAAGAAAGAAAGAAAAGTGGGGGACCAGTGGACCTTCACAGGCAAATAGGAGGCACCAAAGCCAGACTATTTTTAATAGTTAAGCTTCTGAAAATGTTTTCTGTCACTTCTGTCGCCGTGTGTGAGTCCAATTGGGTTAAAACGCGTCCCTCGGCTCTGGGTTTCTGTAAGGTGGCTCGTCTGTGGGGTCGGGTGTGGAGGGCTCGCTGGGTGGTGTCTGGGCGCCGCTGGCACCTGAACTGTGGCACACGTACCATTCACTTAAATTCGCGGGCTGGGAGGCTCCCACCGGCTCCGACAGCACCGAGGAGCCCCCTGGCTCCCGGCCCAAGTCTGAGGAGGGGGAGACCAGGGACGGGGTGGACGACTCGTAGCCTGAACTGGGCGGGGGGGACTTACAGTGCACCTTCATGTGTTTCCTCAGGGAGCTGGGGTGTGTGTAGGACTTATCGCAGCCTCTCACTTTGCAGTTGTAGGGCTTATCGCTGGTGTGGACGTGGGAGTGCTTTTTCCGGTCACTGCTGTTGGCGAAGCGTCTGTCGCAGCCGTCAAACTCACATTTGAAGGGCTTCTCACCTGTTAACAGTGACGGTGACACAATGAAACATGAATCAGTAAAGTGAAGATTTACACACGTGGATGTTTGGTGTTCATCACACAGCATCACCTTATGTAGTTATTCATTTTCTGAGAGCATGTTATAGCAGTTTGATAGTGTTTGAGAGGAATGTCTAATGTTTAAAACCACTAACTGTGGCTGAGCTGACTTTATGACCAACACGTGCTTTGAATAAACTTTAGCAACAAGTACCTGCGACCAAAAACTAAAAAACACAAAATTCCAAAATAAAAAGCAGCTACGTTTACAGCCACTTTCACGACTTTTTTTTTGTTACATTTTAAAATGTAATTTTGAAAAAAAAAAAAAGTGTGTTGTGTATTTACAGCAAACACACTTTTATATCCTGACTGTGGTTGCACTCTTCCTTTAAAAAAAAAAAAAAAAAAAAAAGAAAGTCTGACATGAGTCTCAGTCTGGTGCAAACAGGAGGGCTGAACCCCCACTGTCCTGGGTCTATACCTGGCGCCTGCATGCATCAAGACATACGTCAAAACAGACAAGCTATGAGCACAGACATAGCAGGCCTAAAACCAACTGAAAATAATGATAAATGAAAGTATTGCCACAGCCAGGCTTCACCTACTGTGTGCTAACGCAGCCTGTCTGCTATTTGGATCCAGCAAATGGTTATGGACTGGGTCTGATTTTGTGTCTTAATAACGAGTATTTCTACCTGATTATGACAAGGCAAAAAAAAAAAACAAAAAAAAAAAGACAATCTGAATAAATTACACGGAAATCATCCACTGCTGATTTTTCTCCTCCGATTAAAGCTTTTGAGAATATGTAATTGCCTCTGTCTAATTACACTTGCGGGTTGAATATCAATTTGACCTTCAGCTGTTGGGTTGAGAGAGCCAATCAAGGATATTAGTGTAGTACAAGAAACCGTCGAGGAACAGACCCCAGGGGCAGCCCCAGTCATAACCACACTTTCGGATAGGTTTTAAACATGATACCAAAGACCAGGCCCCTTGGGAGTCAACACACAGAAATAATTTAACAGATTTGTACTTAGGTAATGTGAGCAAATTATATGAATAATACATAGGGTGCAGAAATGGAGCAAAGGGGGGAGTGCCATGCAGCCACCGAAAGAGGGAACGCAGTCATTGTATTAATTTACAAGTCTGACTCGACATTTCGAGGCCTTTCTTTTCCCCCCCTCTCCAGCTCCACAGCACGTCACTGGGTCACAGAGGCGAGCAGCCATATTGTGCCATTATATGTTTTTTAAAAAGTTAAATCAGCTGCTGACTCCAGCTGCATTGTGCACACGTCAGTCAGGATAGGTGCAGTCAGCTCTGCCAACCTGTTGGTGAATTATTTTAGCCGTCTGCTCTTGTCAACTTGTTGCATTGGCTAAAGGCTATAACGTGCTGATGACTCCAAAAGCATGCTTTTTTATTTGACCATGCACGAAGTCAAACACCTCCTTGGAAAATAAAGTTAATACAAATACTCTAACACATAAGTAAAATAAAGCTACTCCCTTCTTGGTAGCTTTAAATGCAACAATGCAGTGAATGCAACTATTATTATTATTATGATGATGATTATTGCAGCTACTACATGATAAAATAGAGGGACATGCAGCGAATAATGACAGCAACAAGTGGCTGAAAACAAAAAGAGAAAATAACATCATCATCACCACATCATCATATCAGTTACTGTATGTGAAGATGCACCTCTCCAACTTTTCCTGCCAGTCATGTCTGGCATGCACTAAGCTACTTGGACAAGACCTGACGTGGGCCTCAGTCTTTGTGCTGTGGTGTAAACAAGAGGTTGAACCGTCAAACGCCTGAGTGAGCTGTACCATAATCCCCAAAGCTCAAACCTTTGTGAAACTTGCGAGCACTGATGCAACTCATAACAAACAGGTGGCCAGTAGCTGTTGCGTCCTGATGTCTCAGCAGCACAGATTGATTAATTGCCCTGGCTCATCAGAGGATATTCGAAATGCGTGAAACCAAAGGGAAATCAAATTAAAACTAACAAAAAAAGGAAGTTGAAAATTAGAAGAAACATCGCTTACGTCGCTCTGGATACTTATGCAAAGCTTATAGCTGAATTTCAACATGCGACTTTATAAATTTAGTTCATACAACATGCTGCAATTTCAACATTTCTACAACATTTCCTTCTATGAATATACACCTACTGACCTGTGTGCGTCCTTTTGTGAATCTTAAGGTTCTCGGATCTTGCAAACACTTTCCCACAGCCAGGGAACGGGCATGGAAACGGTTTCTCCCCGGTGTGAACTCGAATGTGATTTACAAGTTTGTACTTTGCTTTAAATGGTTTGCCTTCCCTCGGACACTCTTCCCAAAAACATATATGGTTCGCTTGCTCTGGTCCTCCAACGTGCTCCACCGTCACATGCGTTACGAGTTCGTGCATGGTGCTGTAAGTTTTGGAGCAAAGTTTCTTCGGCGAGTGCTCCGGCTCCAGCCACTTGCAAATCAGCTCTTGCTTTATCGGCTGCCTCATGTAGCGGAAAAAAGCCCCGGCTCCGTGGTGGTGGTGAGCGCTAAGATTCATGTTCAGATTCAGACCACCGTAGCCATGCAAAGGCGAGGCGGAGAACGGATCAGCCCTGGAGCTTGCCACTTGACTCAAGTGATCAGACCTAACATACATTTCTCCAGGTAGTCCTAACCTTATTTGTCCATTCAACGCTTGGCCACCCGGTGATCCGCTTGAAGGCTGGTCGTGATGGAGTCCGGAGAAGAGGGTATGGTTCCCAGCGTCAGGGTGATGACCATAGTGTCCGGGATAGCTACCTGTTGTTGAGACAAACATTCCGTGGTGAGAGGCTGAACCAGCAGTCTGGTCAGTCAGTACTGGCATGGCTTGAGCTGTCAGATCTCTCCGGATGAGGAAATCCCTACCTGCGGATAAAGCCTGGGCCGTGTGAGACATGGAATAGGGGACCGATGTCGCCTGAACCGGGCCAAAAGCTCCCGTTTGACTGGAGACCACTTCACTGTGGCCTGCCATGTGATGATTGTGGTGGTGGTGATGGTGGTGGGGATAATGATGGGCTGGGCTGATTTTGAGGGCCGCGGAGTGCCCCATGTGTTCTGGCCCGAATGGACTCGGCCCCAGGCGGGGTTCCGCAGTAATCTCCCCAGGGTGCGAGTGAGCCATTGAGTGTGGATGGCTGCTGAACCCCGGGAAGCCTGTCACGCTCTGAGGGGTATGGTGGTGATGATGGTGATGGTGGTGAGCCCCTGCCAAGTCAACTAATCTCAGCGCCGTGTTCCGTTTGGAAAACGTAGGGTCCATCACGGGGCTTCCCAATGCATCCACGCTCATTACTTCCTAATTTTAGAATAACTTGACAGCAGGCAAAATAATAATGATGATGACAAATATATTTTAATCGCAATGAAAAATAAAAAAAAAAAACTTTATAAAGTTAAGTCTATCTGCAGACTACATGGAATCCCATTCGGTTGAGAGGCAGCAGCAGGACGCTTTGATACTGAATAGAGATTCATGGTAGGCGAGCAGCCCGTGGAGCTAAACAATCACCCTGCGCTCTAATTGGTCAGAGCTCGGTGATTGACGTCACCAGTGACAGTTTCCAACGTGAAGAAAAATGTCTTAGTGACAGCACGCAGCCAGCACGCATGCGCAGTGCCTCTGGCAACGCTTGAGAAAAATAGTTGTTATGCAAAGGTTATTGTACGATAAAAGTCCTAAAAAAGTTGATCCAGATATACAGTCGTCTTTCTTTTGTTGCAGTGAACAAAGGCTGCGCGGCTATGAAACAGCAATTTCCCACTTTGATTATGCGATTACAAAACAGACTGCCTCGAAAGAGTATGTATATTGTCACTATAAAAGTTGTAAGGATCATAAATAATGCAGTGATATCTTCATTTTGCCCTGCAACGTATGAAGGACAACTTTACGCACAAATTACGCACAACTTTACGCACGCTAAAGATCGGCGTGAGCGGAAAAACTTGTCAACTTAAGCAAAGGAAAACTCCACGTGGGAGTTTAAAATAGTCCGGAGTACATATCATTAATATGCGCTTTGATAAATACCCATATTTACATATCCAGCAGTTTACGCCCCTCAGCGCGTACTACAGTGTCGACTCCGTGCTCTGCTCGGTGGGATCCGTGTGTGTAGTGAGTGTGAATAGGGAGAGCTGCGGCCATTGTCCCGAGGAAAAAAAAAAATGTAATGGACGGGACCTGTTGTTATGATCCGGGGTAATTTTGCTTTTAGACCCAGGACGGCAGCACATGAGGGTCACAGGAGGTGGTGCCGTTGCAGACATAAGTTGAAAATAAAACGTGTGTACTGTAAGTATCGGTTACTACAATCTTATCCTACAGAGTATAAAACTTTATCCTAGCGATTCTTTTTTATTGCTGTTGTTTGAATGCTGAGGAGGTAAACAGTTGTGGATTACAACGACACGCGGGAGCGTTTTATAAATCATCCACCTCTCACTCATGCTTTTTTATTTTTCATGGACATTGTCTTTTTAAACCATCAGCCGACAAAACGGGACCATTTGAAAAAAATCGGTGTGTTGTCATTAAAATGTTGAGTGATGTTTGGATGCTACTGTACATGGAATATAGCCCCGTCCTCAGCACGGTGGACACAGTCTCTGGAACAAACATGCATGACCGAAATTTTAACTAATATGCTTGTGTGTCACAACTAGGTAATTTCAAATATTTTTCTAGTCTTTCCCTTGAAATATTCTTCTGATTAACAGCTATTGCTTTATTTATTTTTTTTAAATCTTATGAGTTGTCTTATGTGTTGAAACCAAACTGTGATGCCAACGCTTCAGATCTTTTTTTTTTTGAATGTTTGGTTTGAACGTTTAATCTTTGTAGTTGCAGACAAAAAAATAAAATAAATAACAGCGGGAGGTGACCTTACAGAAGGTCACATACAGTGCTGATCACTGTGGTAAGTGTTTAATAAATTATTTGACTTCTGCGGTTGTAAGACTACAACCTACATTTATTATCCCAGTCGCTCCTCAGTGTTTAAACGCCTTACAAATCATCGGTAAGAAAATCAGCTGCACATAATATGAACTTGGGTTTTATGACAACTGACTGTGTCGTTTTCAGGTTTAGTAACTACACCAAAGTAATAAACTGAATATGCTGAATAAAAGGACACCCAGTCACTTGTTTAATATTTTTTTTGTTTTTGAAAATAGCTTTAAAAAGTATTTTCTTCTCGGTTATTTCTCTGGATTGACTTGTCAAAATCTTTGCTGACAGCGTCATATCCAGCACGTTAGAAATTGAGTCAATATTTTGAGACATGACGGATCCAAAAGATGTTTATTAAATGGCCTTTACGCATGGGGTTCATGAGGCTCACAGCTGTAGCCTTCAGAGGCATCACAGCGCCAGCGTAATGCAAAACTTTGAAGTGCTATTTCTGGTCCAAGTTGTGCATGTACTCACTCTTGGAGACAAGTAAGCAGGGGGACTTTAAGCTCCTAAACAAAAAAGCTGAATATTGCAGAGAGGTCTCATAAAACGCTGTTTTTTTTTTGTTGCTTTGGCTTCGCTTCTTTCACAGTAAATCCTAAATAGCTCCTGGTAGCCATTTTAAATTCTACATTAGGTTATGACTGCAACACATTAGTATCATGACTCTAAATGGTTATTGGCCTCTTAATTAGGACGCATCTTTTACGCACTGGAATTAAACTTGTTACAGTCGCGTTGAGGCACAAAAGAAACTTTAAATGCGCTTTCAAACTTGTGTATAATACCAGCAACTCTGTTCTTGGCGCACAGGTTCCAATTTAGCCTCAGTTGTTGCAAGTCTGACTTTATGACCTCCAGTTCTGACTCTTTTTCAATGATGTGTCATTCTTACCGTTCTCCACCTGTTGAAAGATCCCTCCACATTTTGTAAAATCAGAGTAGTGGGCTACCTAAAAAAAAAAAAACGTCGGATCAAGATGTAGGTCTACTTGTTAAGTTGAGAACAACAAAACTTCCTCTCTTTCCTTGGTCTCTCAAGACTGACTTGGAGAATGTCTTGTAGAAACTAGTCTAGTAGCCAAGAAGATATTTTAATGGTTCGCATGGCACGTCTGTGCATGTGGCTTTGAACTCTAGCAGCCGGAGGTTCCTGCAGAGAGCGCCGCAAATCCCACTTGATAACTTCGACAACCCACAACGTTTTACACACAGGCTATGCATCACTGGCCTGCAAAAAATGAGTAAGTTGCACAGGCACAGCCAAACCGTGATGGATACATTAGGCATACTGGTGCATCCAAGTTAAATACTGACCTATATATATTTTCAAGGTAACCTTTTTTTTTTTTTTTGAACGTGGGCTTACTGGTGAGCATGGTGATGTGGAAATCTAAAGCACAGATGTTCCACCGGTGTGTGAGCTCCAGCGGACGCAGAAACACATTGCGTTCGAGGGAGGGGAGGAAGAAGAGAACGACAAAACACGCACAAGAGTCAGACGACCAAACATTGCGTGGATTCCCTCTCGAAGAGAATGACAGGCGTGTAAAGAGAGTGATGACAGTGGGCAGGCTTTATATCAAACCTCAGGGCTTCCCCAGGAAAAGACGTTAAACTCTGTTCTCCATACCTGTACCTGACACTAGATACCGAGAGAGAGATAGAGAGAGAGAGAGAGAGAGAGAGATAGATAGATAGATAGATAGATAGATAGATAGATGTGCTTGCTTTATAAACTCGGTGCACTATATGGCTGCAAAACGTGCTTTGACTTCCTACGAGGCCAGTTGCTGTCTTGTGTTTGTCAACTTTTCTTTTGCTGTTATTCAGCCTTTTAACCAAATTCACAGTCAGCAATCTCACAATATCTGGGATTGATGATGCAAAGAGGCCAATAGAAGTGTGGGCCCTGCACCGTGGATTGTTATTTGGTGAGTGGATGTTATTGGGGGGGAAAGGTGCTCCGCCAATGAGCGCGCGGCTCCGTGGCCACATGACTACCCCCCTCCTCTCCCATTCATCAGGGCTGGACTGTGTTGTCTTTTCAATTCATTTATCTGCAGGAATGATTGCGACTATCAGTCTAGAGCTCACCGCCTGACTGAGGAGGTGAAAGTTGCGCCACAGGAAGATAAACCGCAAAAGACAATATTGCATGCATACATGATTTTGCGTGTGCATCGGATGAGCGGTATAGGGGAATTCCTCGCGTCTTAAAAAAGTAAACAGAAAATCGGTGGATTTGAGAGTTTGCTCAGTCGAGTGAGGTCCAAGAGATAGAGAGAGAGAGGGGGAGGAAGAATATCTGTGCGTGATTTTTTGATTTCTGCTCTCAGTCGTCTCGGCGAGTCTAGACTGAAGATGCTCTTGGACGCAGGACCGCAGTATCCCACCATAGGAGTCACTACTTTCGGCTCCTCACGGCATCACTCAACAGGCGAAGTCACAGAGAGAGAAGTGGCGTTGGGGATAAATCCGTTCGCGGATGGGATGGGCGCCTTCAAAATAAACCACAGCTCCCACGATATTGGCTCCGGACAGACGGCGTTTTCCTCCCAGGCGCCCGGCTACGCAGCTGCCGCCCTGGGACACCATCACCACCCGACCCACGTTGGCTCTTACTCCACGGCGGCTTTCAACTCCACCAGGGACTTTCTCTTCAGAAATCGGGGTTTCGGGGACGCCACCGGGGCGCAGCACAGTTTGTTCGCCTCTGGAAGTTTCGCAGGGCCACATGGACACTCAGATGCAGCGGGCCACCTGCTCTTCCCAGGGCTCCACGAGCAAGCGGCGAGCCATGCCTCTTCCAACGTGGTCAACAGCCAGATGCGGCTGGGCTTCTCGGGGGACATGTACGGACGGGCCGACCAGTACGGCCACGTTACGAGCCCACGGTCCGACCACTATGCTTCGACCCAGCTGCACGGCTATGGCCCCATGAACATGAATATGGCCGCGCACCACGGAGCAGGGGCCTTCTTTCGGTACATGAGGCAGCCGATCAAACAAGAGCTCATCTGCAAGTGGATCGAGCCGGAGCAGCTGACAAATCCCAAAAAGTCGTGCAACAAAACTTTTAGCACGATGCACGAGCTCGTCACCCATCTGACGGTGGAGCATGTGGGGGGACCGGAGCAGACCAACCACGTCTGCTTCTGGGAGGACTGCTCCAGAGAAGGAAAGCCATTCAAAGCCAAATACAAACTTGTAAATCATATCAGAGTACACACCGGAGAAAAGCCCTTTCCGTGTCCGTTCCCCGGCTGTGGCAAAGTATTTGCACGCTCGGAAAATCTAAAAATTCACAAAAGGACACACACCGGTAAGAA